CCAGGATGGACAAATCTATATTCTGCTTCCTCTTAAACCTTATATTCATTATGGTAAAGGGCTGAACCCCTCATATATTCATATCAGAACACATAGGATGTTTTGAGGTGGGAACCAGTTTAACTGCAACCAAAAGACAGTTTCCCAGCCCCAGTGCAGAGCATTGTTGGGAAGAAGGGAGCAGCACCATCTCTCCTCCCTAGAACAGATATGGTTGAGGTATCAGATGAAGTTGACTTATTCATCAGAATAGATGGGTGGTGGTTATGATGAGTGATGCCCAGCAGTTCAACCTGCACATGTTTGTTATAGTCATAGTGGGAGAAGGAAGAGGATTAAACAACTTCATGTGTCTTACCAGAAGAGGCTTCTGTACAGAACAGGCACAATCTTCTCTGTTGTTCTGCAAGGGTTCTTTCTGGACCCAAGGCAGTGTAGGAGGAGCTGGGATAATTGACTGTTAGAAAACTAAAGAAACCACTTAATCAATATGGAGCTGGCTTTCAGACATGTGACTGCATAAGCCTTCTCCTTCTCCTCTGCACTAGGCATGGGCAAGGTGCACAGATGGCCTTAGTTGTCATTGATTGCCCTCATTGCTCCTGCTGCCACCCCCATTTTCTTCAAAGTAACCCACCTCCCCTTACCCACCCACCCCTCTGTTTTTGCTGAGGAGAGTAGACAGATATAGGGAGTAATGTTGTTGTGCCACCCTGTGACAAAGAGACAGGGGGAAAAGAAAATGGGTAACTTTAAAAAGATGAGTGGTGGCAGTAGCAATCATAGACATTGTTATTCCTGTTCCCCTTCTCTCTTTTTTTAGCAGAGGGTGAAGTGGTACTGCTTCCTTCTCACATCCAGGTGTGTTTAGGTCCTTGTGAGTTGGGGTGCAGCACCAAATGAGTGGCAGTTCCTCAGCACTCTTAGGACCTGAGGTAACCACCTCACCCAGTGTTATGAGAGGGACAACCTTGGCAGAACATGTGTTTGAATCGGTGGATATCAGCAATATACATAAGGAGTTGGCCAGTTTCTGGATTTTTTTTTTCCCTAGGTTTTCACGAACCCACACAAAAGAAACACAATAATATATTCTGTTTGTGGTTACATTTCATAACACAGTGAACTAAGACCACTAAAACAAGGCCAAGAGCATGTAGATGTTGCAAGGCTTTGTTATAGCTCTCCAATCACCTTTTGTTGTCTCTAAAGAAGCATGTATACCAGACACAAATGTCCTTTTCCTTTTCCTTCCCCTATGCAACCACATTCCTTTCTTTCTGTTATCAAGATTGAAACATTTATGCTATCTTTTCCTTAGCTAAAATATTATACTTTCAAATTCCTTTGAACAGAGCTTTCCAAAGATCTTGATCCAGTGTTTCAGTTAAATTCATTCCTGTGCAGTTCTTTGTTTGAGAGCTGAAGAACTGTAATTGTGCAGTTTCTGTTCTGTCTGTTTCATATATGAGCATCTGAGCCTGGTAGAGGCTAGTAAAATGCACTATTAGCACTAATCCTCTTGCGGCAGTTCCCCCTCCTTTTTATGTGAATTGACTAAAGCTTTTTTATTTCCATTCGCCATCCATTGTTAATCTGCTCTGCTCCCTCCCTCTTCATGGATTTAAACCCTTACCCTATTCCTGCCTTTACACTTGTTCAGGATCACAGTCTGCTAATACACAGTCTGGTGGTAAGGCTTTTTAGATTTTGTGTGTGCATCATTGGTTACCATCCATCACAACAGGATCCTATTCAGCAGAAATACCAGGTATTTGTCAACTCATAGTAAAATACTGCAGGTCCAAATATATTGAGTGTATATAGATTTTCCTGTAGGAAAAAAAGGAAATATCTAAAAACATAAATCTGTGAATTGAGATCAAACATGGAACAATGAAGTTGGAAGGCCCCTGTAATGCCATTGGTTCAACCCCCTGCTCAATGCAGGAATACAAATCAAAGGATATCTGTAAGGTGGCTGTCTAAATTTCTCTTCAATGCCACAGTATTGGAGCACTCACCACCTCTCAAGGTAATTGGTTCCATTGTCATACTGCTCTAACAGGAAGTTTTTTCTGATATTAAACTGCAAAACGGGCTTCCTGTAACTTGAGCCCATTGTTGCATGTTTTGTACTCTATGATGATCAAGAACAGATCCTGCCGCTCCTCTGGTATGATAGCCTTTCAAATATTTGAAAACAACTATCATATCTCCCTTCAGTCTTCTTTTTTCATCCCTAAGCATGCCAGGTTCTTTTAGTCTTTCCTCATGGGGCTCAATTTTTAGCCTTGATCATCCTTGTTGCCCTTCTCTGAACCTGTTCCAGTTTATCAGCATCCCTTTTGAAGTGATGTGTCCAGAACTGGACACAGCACTCAAGATGACACCTAACCAGTGCTGAATAAAGGGAAAACAGTACCTCTGAATATGAGAGGAGCCTCAAGAATGACAGGTTTTTTAAATGGTTCCAGCCTTTTCATTAAAAAAAACTTCTCCAAAGTCCATTGATTTCTCTTCAGTGTGCTGCTTGCAATGCTGTAAATATCTCAAGTTGAAAGACCAAAAAAAATGTAGATTATAAAATGTGCCACACATTTTACTCCTTGCACATTTAGCACAAAAGTCAGTGTACTGTAGTGTCATAGGGCTACTTGCAGTTGGTCTAGTGGGAAAAAGTTGTGATTTCTTATTAATATCATAGAATTTGATATGGAACACGGCATTTGGTGGTGTTGTTTTTTTGTTTTTTGCTGTTGTTTTGAAAAGCTGAACTTTAATTTGTAGGCCAGAATCCTTTTATGTGTTTCCACCAGTCTAACTCGGTCAGTGTAAATTTCAGTGATGAATTGATGCAAGTTAATGAATGCACTAACTTAATTAGTGGCAGTTCGCTGAGATTTACACTACTTGAATTTAACTGCTGATGTAACTGATATTGTTTTTTTCTGACTGTTTTTTGAAACCTTAAGGCACATATTCACAGGCACTTAAGACTGTCATGATGGGCTTGAAAGTTAATCTAAAAGAAGCAGCAGTTTATTTTGAGATGGATGAACTTGAAAATATGTGGCCAGTGCAAAGTGCTGCAGCCTTATGTAAAGATTTAACATTAGTTTTCACCATGTAATCACTTCTCAGTGTAAACCTAGTTTTGTTTTCTCTAAAGTAAATAACATTGTGTTAGTGGAACTTATTCTCTAGAGTTTGAATTCTCCCTATGATTGCATTTTCTAGGCTTGTGATCTTTAAGTAGTCTGAGCTTAGTGCAGAGACTGAAATCCCCTTTTATTGCTGCAAAACTGTATACATATTTTTGCACAATATGTGAGCTTACTGGCATATGCCTTTTAAAAAATATATATTTTTGCTGAATAGATTCCTATCTGAAGAGCATATTCCGCTGCAGTATTTCCCAAACTTTATTAGCTGAAGTACACTTGAGTTTCTGAATCTGAAATGGAAACACACTTATATCCAAAGTTACTTCCTTTTAGACTTTGAATGAGAGAAAATCAGTTTTGGTGAACTGACATGTTATCCTTAGCTCATATGTTTCTCTGTGTCTTTGATCTGAGTATGACTCCTGGTTTTGAAGTTAAAAGCCACAAGGAGCACAAAGCCCTCTGTTGAGGGCAGGCAAGTCTGATGTGTCTGAAGTGACTCCTACCCAGTGCTTGCAGTCAAAGGTGATTCCCCTCACAAGCAAATACTGATTGAAGGAGGCAAGGCTAGAGCAGAAATGCTATTTTCTCATTTCTTTGGGTCTTTGGGTTAATAGGAGTCTGTAGTTTAATTTTCATAGTATGACATGGTATATAGTCTAGGAATTGCTGTTCTCTTCTCATGACATGTTATATCCAAAGGCAAACAATGGCCCACATAGCATTTGCATGGAGCATTGTCTTGCCCCATCATCCTCCATGTTGGTCCTGTATCAGTCATTTACTGTCATGCTTTATAATGAGATTGTTTGAATGTATAGTATTTTAAGCCACGCTCCAAGGAGGTGGGGATGGATGGATCTGATCATGTTAAGCCACATTGTAATAGCACAAAAAACAGCATATTAACATTTTGTAGAAGTCTGTACCTCGTGTACTGTGTCTAAAAAAACAATATCTGTCTATAATATTCATGGGATACTCATTTATGTTATAAATGAATTCCCATGATCAAACTATCTTCATTGGAACATGGTTTTATTTTCAAGGAATAAAGTTGCATATTTTCCCCTGTGAAATTTGGTTTTATTTCATATTGAGTTAAGGTTGCTAAAGAAGCACACTAATCTAGACACCTGAAATTTGGAAGTAAGTTGTCTGTTTTAGTTATCTCATTGCCAGAAAAAAAAATGGTGTTTGAACATTTCCATGTAATAGGAAAAAGCCATTTTTGATGAGGGCAGCTATTCAATGCATGTGATTTGTGGCCAGACCCCATCTACTTTACAGAGCACTGGACATTCTCCACCTGTTTCCCAGGTTCCAGGAATGCCTTATTCAGTAACCCGGTTATTAGGAAACCTGGTATTCACACCAGCTTGTCACTCCAGCCTAATAAATGTTAGATGAACCACTATACAAAACAGGTGGTTCATTTTCTGCTATGTTTCTGGAGTATCTACAGTCCTGCAAATTGATTCAGTTCATGATGAATTTCTCATTCATACCCAGCAGTTTAATGTAAGTCCTCAATACTGGTATGTATTTATTTCTGAAAAAGCTGTAATAATACTTAAGTATGTATAGCTCAAATATTAAGAATATTGCAAGGCTTGAGTTAACATACTTGTAGCTTTTCTTAAAGTCAGTGTATTTTTTTTTCTAGAAGTTGTTCATTATCTTCAGATTCTTCCAAAGATCCAGCTTCAGATTCTTCCAAACTGTCTCAAATAATTTTGTTCCACCGTACCTATTTCAACTATATTCATTTCTCCCCCACCTTTATTGTCATGGATGCATTGTAAAACACAGCTTATTTTTGTTTGCCTTCAGCTGGCAGTCGTTCCGGTTCTCCTGGAAGAGTTTTAACTACAACTGCCCTCTCAACTCTGAACACTGGGGTTCAGAGAGTGTTAGTCAGCCCTGCAACAGCACAAAAGCGAAGCAAGATTCCTCGAAGTCAAGGATGCAGCAGAGAGGCCAGTCCTTCAAGACTATCAGTTGGTAAGACTTGCTAGCTAGACATAATCTGTTCTTTTTATATTGTCCATGTCTTTCATATGGTGACCAAGTCCATGTTTTCTGAATTTATTCTTCAAACTCTATGATTAGGTTCTGCTGCACCTCAACTGTATTCTAAGATTTGTACTATATTAGAGCCCTATTTAATCATAGTTAAAAGTATGTGAAAGTCATGCATTTTGAGAGAGCACATTTATTCTGCCCCTTTCCACCATCTCTTCAGTATCAGAAATGCAATTGTCTGAAGAGGGAGAGGGTGCTGTACCCAAGTGGACAGATTCATGATTTTGGGAGAGTAGGTTGGCTCACATCGAGAGGCTACCTGCATACAGCAGTGTTTCAGTTTGTTATATTTCCCTGAAGGGAAAAAATCAGGGATGGTGTGACTGGCACAATTCCCTCAACTGGTATGTCGCTGCACATGCTTTAAAGCGCAACCGGAAGGGCTTTTGTAGAGAATGGTAAGCCTCTGCTTTGCTATTCTCCTTCTTCAGATCAGTTTACTGTACACATATTTCATAGTTCTAAAGAGTGCATATTATATAAAACGATTGTCAGAAACATGCTAGAAACATACTAGACAGTGATGAAAATATAACACTTGGTTTGCTACTATATCTACAAGAGGCAGTACATAAGCAGCATATTGTAATGCCTCCTCTTTTCCATGGCATTAGTTGTATCATATTCATTCTTCCCCCTCCCCCAAATTGACACTAGTTTACATTATAAAGAAATCTTCACAGGGTGTTTGTTCTCCATAGTTCAAAGTAAGAAAGAACACATGTTTTGTTAATATTAACAAGAGATGGGACCATCTCTTTAGTAATGCACCTCTTACTGTGAAAGGTAAAAAAACAGAATTGCATTAAAATGTCAACTCTTTCTGTGTCTTCTCTCTTTCTCTGCTGCTGTTGATCTGTATCCTGAATCATACTAGCACGAGGTAGTCGTATTCCTCGACCTAGTGTGAGTCAGGGATGCAGTCGGGAAGCCAGCCGTGAAAGTAGCAGGGATACAAGCCCTGTCCGCTCTTTTGCACCCCTTGGTAAGTACTTGGAGAATGTGTTCTGCATGGCTGTCTGCCCTTGATTATCTGCTAATATAAGCTAAATAAAGATCCGGCATTTAACAAATAAATATTTCCCTGCCTATAAAACCCATAGCCTCTTTACTTTGGCTAAAAACTTACTCGTGTGAAGAACTTGAGAATGTCCTATGTAATTCTGTTATGTTAATGGCACAATTCAGAGGTGTAAATGCAGCAATTCCAAAGATATTTTGCACATCAGTCAACCGTATTTCCAGCACACATACACACACACACACACATTTGTCATAATTTTGTATAAGCCTTTTTTTTCAGTCAGTAGTAATCAAGTTTCTTCATCAGCAGCTTTTGCAGTAGACCTCAAACTGTTTTTTGAGAACTGATGTTAAAAGATTCAGAGTTCTTGGATGTCAAGGCTTGATGGGAAACAATGTATAATAATGTTTATAATAGGCATTCACCTCTGAATTGTAGTCTTGGACAAGTAAATTGTAAAAATTGATGATTTTAGAGGCAGTTCATTCTTTGTTTCTGTATTGCATATATTTATCAGGTTTTTTTTCTTGCCATAATAGATTTATTTTGATTTTTCTTTAATCGTATTGTACAGATAGTTACCTACTATTCTCATAATTCTATTAACAGTTCTGTTGTGTAGCAGTGGCAATGCAGTTCCAGTGAATTGATTATAAACAAAAAATGCCAATTCTACACAATCATTTTCTAATATATCACTATAATATAATCAAATGTAATGTATTTTGGAATTTTCTTCTACTGGAGATCATGACAGTCTTGTGTTTGGAAGCACCAGCTTTAAATGGCAAAGTTTTGGGAATACACAATAAAGAAAGTCACAGAAGGGACAAAAATGTTTAAACTGTTCAAGTTTACCTTGATACATAAGGGGGGAGGACTATATATATATATATATTACAAATCCCTGCATTTCATACATGTGAGATTTTTTTCATTAACATTACTTATTTAACAGCACGGTGTCTTTGATTAATTTTTTAAAAAATAAAATCAAGACAAAAGGATTTGTATTGATATTTTATTATCTATAATTAAAACTATTTTATTCTGAGAAAAGTAAAGTTAGGTTCCCATGTCCAATTTGGATTAGAGTTGACTTTTTTAAAAAGATGCTTAAGTGATTTTAATTGATCGACAGCTTCGTTCTGATTTCTATTTGCTTCCCCCCCCCAAAAAAAGGCTCTAAGCCACTTTAAAAGTAGCTTACTCTTTTTGAAACAATATTTTGCTTACTGCTGTAAAATTCATTACTGCAGTGCCACTGCTTGACTTCAGACACTGGAAATCACTCCTTTGCTTTAATTAGCATCCACAGATCCATCTCATTTTATGTCATTTTAAATTGAGGCAACTCATCCTGTCAACTTTTTCTCCAAAATGAGTACAATGTGATTCTACGATATGATGCTACTTACTTCATGTTTAATGAGAAAATTCCATGTAGTGTTTAGTTACTTATATCAGTGTTAACTGTGACAGATTTTATTTTTACAAAAGTGTACTCTATGCTTCTGCTATACCACTTTCATTAAGCTATCCTGTTTCCCCTAAAATAAGACCTAATCTGAAAATAAGCCCTAGTGTGATTTTTCAGGATACTCATCATAAAAGCATATTATACCCCTACCCCAAAAATAAGCTCCAGTTAAGTGAAACCCCACTCTCCACCATTGTGCAGCAACCAGAAGAAGATGACATGACTATATTTGAATAAATATAGCTTGTTGTACATTAAAAATATAAAACATCCCCTGAAAATAAGCCCTAATGCGTTTTTGGAGCAAAAATTAATATACTACTCTGTCTTATTTTGGGGAAAACACGGTAGTATGTGTAAAAAATTATTTTTTCCATGTCATACATAATTTGCATGTTCCGTCAAGTCACTGTTGATGTATAGTATTTTCAGATGTGAATGGTCAGCCAGAGAATGTCTTCCTTTGATTATATACTTATGTAATAATCAAAGGAATAATAATTACTTCCTTTGGTTATTACTTCTTCCTTTGATTATTAATTACTCATTTCTTCCTTTGATTATTACTTATTTTCACTGGCTGGCCTAAATCCAGTGGTGTAAACCTCAGCAACAAATTGCTACTAGTTAAGAAGTCAGTAGTTGTATTTCCTTTTTGCACACCACTTGCCTCAACAAGAAATGCAAACACTAATGTCCTAACTAGTGGCAGTTGCCTCATGAAATGTACATCATTGAACTCATGTTGGCATAATTACTCAGTTGGATTCCTGTCATTGTGCGTAATTTCAGCATGCAATAGTCAAATCAGAGCTTCAGAGTTTCTTTTGTATGAATCAATCTCCTAACTTAGGTGCCCAAGTGTCATATGTCCGTAGTTTCTGTAATGTGAGAGTACAGTTCTTTTTTAAAAAAATAAATCCTTATTTCTGTAACAATTGAAGTTGCAGACTTAACCATTTGAAGCTTTTGTCTTTCCCCATAATTACAAATCGCTGTATTTTATTAGCCATTTCTCTCTTTTATGTGTGCCATTTTTATAGATAGTGGCAAAGTTTTGTATTACCTTATACTTTTAAATCTCAGAATTTTCTGATTCTTGCATGGGACAAAAATTCAAATCTCCTGCATCATATAGCATTTTGGAAGTCATATGCGAGCTAGCAGCCTATTATGACAGTGACCCCAGGGGTTCATGGAGTGCAGCTCCTAGAAGCCTTCACCACTATTTGTTTGTTTGTTTGTTTGTTTGTTTGTTTGTTTGTTTGTTTGTTTGTTTGTTTGTTTCATTTATACCCCGCCTATCTGGTCAAATGTGACCACTCTAGGCGGCTTACAACACACTCTAGATGTGCTAACCAGGGTTTCTGGGAGTTGCAGTCCGAGCACACCTGGGTTACTCAAGGTTGGGGACCACTATCTTGTGTGGATCTGCTGCTAGACATAATGTTTTTGCTACCAACTGTAAGACTAAATATTGAATGTTTATCATAGCAGAATGCTGAATATATGATGGTCCAAGCTACATATAATTGGTCAAATGTAGGAAAGGAGCCAGTAGTCATGGTTCATCTGAATTAGCCCTTAATTGTGCCTAGGTATCAGTCTCATGAGGTAATGCCATCTGGCTTTGTCCAGAATTAGATCTGTTTTCCATGTAGTTGCCATACACTTTACTGTTACAGCAATAGATAGGGTTCATATGATCCTGTTATTACAGCTTCCAGGCATCACTCCAGATCCACTGGTGCCCTCTACTCTCCAGATGTTTATGGGGCTACAGGTGAAGGATGAGTACACTTTGCTATCATCTGTGCATCATCCTGGATTTTTCCCCCTGTTCAGTTACCCGTACAATCTATTTTTTATCATTTTTATGTTTACTTCTATTTATTAGTTTTGAATACTTAAAACAAAAAATGAAACATTTTCCCCTTCCACCATTACTCAAGCAATTTATTTTCTGTCTTTTCAAATGAATTTTGTTGGTTTTTAGTTTGTCTATATCGTCTCATAAAGCTCTATTGAATGCATGTAGCTTTGTCATATGTAGTGCTGTAGGCTATATTGATAGTTCTTTTCTTTAATTTGCTTCATAGCTTGAAAGAAAAGCTGTAGTGGCATGTTTAACAGATTTTAATAAGGAAAAGAAATAATTTGCTATTGTTTCAATTCCTGCATATTTTTAGTGTTAGAACGTGTTCTTTTTGTCACACAAGGTACAATTAAGTAATTGGCTTTATATTTACTTCAGTTTTGTGAAGTTACTAATGCCAGCATCCAACAAAATTTTAAGCATATGCTGCTGAAAACCATTTGTGACAGCCTTGGATTTCCATACAAATTTTTGTTGCTGCAGTTTCAAAAGTAAAGAAGCAAAGACAGTTTTAAAATTAAGTGACTGCTTCGCTCTGTAATGACAATCCTATTTTGACAAACTTAAAAGAGAACTCTGATCACTCATATAGCCGTTGCATACTCATGTAGAACTACCTAAATTATGCAAGACTCTGTCTTTGACCCATCTGGCTCATGTGATTAATACAAGAGTTCTGAATTTCTATAGCAAGATTCAGCTGCATTTAGGAAGATATAGTTAATATTTTTACTTCCCCATCTTAATCAGTTGAATGCTCCTTGAGGCAAATTGGAGCCAAGAATAAATTTCAGTGATATGGCCATTTTCAAATAACAAAAGGCATGACATTTCTGAAATACAGCTTTTTAAATGTGTCTAATATTGTATTAAACCCTCCTGGATACTTCTGATTAACTTTGCCTTCTTTTCTTATTGTGACAGGGACAGGTTTTGGAATAAGTCAGTCAAGTCGATTATCTTCTTCTGTTAGTGCCATGCGAGTCTTGAATACAGGTTCAGATGTGGAAGAAGCAGTAGCAGATGCTTTGGTGAGCAGCTTCTATCTCAAACCCCAATCCCCTTGGATGGATGGCAAATAAAAGCATTGTAATAGGATTTAAACCAGAGGTGTAAAACTATTTCTTCTTGGGCCGCATCGGCATTATGGTTGCGCTCAAAGGGCTGGTTGTATCTGTAAGACTATATAACTGTATCTACTCTTTATCATATTAAATATAATCCTCATACAATTATCACTTTCTGACTCTTCACTGCTTGGAATTAGAAGCCCCGTTGGGCAGATTCCCAGCATCTTTGCGGAGCTTTATTGGTGACCATGTAAGTGCCTGCATATTGTATACTGCACAGTAGTAGGCAACATTGCAAGGGCCACATGAAATGGCCCGGCGGGCCAGATTCGGCCTGCAGGCCTTGAGTTTGACACATGATTTAAACTACGTATTTTATGCTCTTGTCTATTTTTTAAATTGATTCTACTAAATTAAACAGAGCTCCCTTTGTGAGTTTACACTACATTTCATTCCTCAGATGTTTTCCTTTAAAATGCACATTTTCCACAGTGCATTTTACTTGATTTTTTAATATACATTCTCAACTGTAATCCATGTTTAAGTATGCATAAATAGATTTGCCCACTGTGACCTCTTGTTTCCCTCTTTAAGATTGAAACTTGGGATTGGTTCATATTTTACCATATTTTTTGCTCCATAAGACGCACTTTTCCCTTCAAAAAAAGTGAGGTAAAAAGTCTGTGAATCTTATGAAGAAAATTACATTGCGTTTGGTACCCTCTAGTGGCCAGTTTGATAATTACACCTTTTTTACAATGCTGATCTGGAAGGACGCTGCCTCAAGCTTGCTGGGACTAGGCAAAATGGTGGTGATGTAACAGACCCCCCAGTACTGTACTCATTAGTAGCACTGATACTACAGGGTATCCGTAGCAGCCCTGTAGGACCAGAGCTGCTTACTGGACAGCTGGATCATGTGACCAGCCAGGCGCTGGGGGAAGCAGAGAGAGAGAGAGGGAGAGGAGAGCTCCACGGAGGAAGGGAGAAGACTCGTCCAGGTATCGTAAATAACATAATACAGAGGAATTCCTGGCTGCATTGCTGACTGATGACATTAAGGGGCACATGAGGAATTGTTGTTGAAAAGTAGGATTTGTTTCAGTTGCTCACTGAGTGAAAGGCTTTTAGTTCTTTTGAGATTTGTCATACTATTCAAAGCAACCCACTCCAATGGCATCTTAAACCTGAATTTTTGAAACTTTACACTGATGTATTGCACCTTGGGGTGTCTACTCTACTCCCCTAATGGTGAACAAGTGGTAGAATATACCAGATGGGCGGGATATAAATCGAAAAAATAAACAAACAAACAAATAAATAAATAAATAATAGACCTCCTCACATGGGACCACTCTGCCTATAGAGATACCTTACAACTTTATTACACTACTTTGTTCAGAATTTTTTTTCCTATTTTCCTCCTCTAAAAATTAGCTGTGTCTTATGCTGAGGTGCGTCTTATGGAGTGAAAAATATGGTATATGCTAGTAGTCTGTAACACAGTGTGATTCAAATCTAAAACAAGGTGGTCCTTTTTAGTTACTATGTTCTTGGAAGATTTTGAACCAATTCATCTATTGTTGCATATCTTTTCTTGCCATTTTATCACAGGCTGGATTATGCTTGTGTGTTCATAAAATCTAGACTGGGTCTGGCAAGATTGACTCTAGAATTTTGGAGGGGTCATTATAGGTTAATATGACATCCCAAGAATACTGTATTGTTTTTGCTTAATTCTTATGGCACCTCATAAGTTTATAATAAAAATTGCAAAATTAAATATATAGAGGCACTCAGTTATTATATTAAAAGACACAGATTCTTTTGTATATTTCTCTTCGTACACATTCCAGTATTTGTTTTAGGTAACTACAGTTGCCTGCCAAGCTATATTCTGTATTGTCCATGTTTGTTTAGTCATCTCTGGAACTAGCTAAACAAGCTTTTTATGAGGAAACTTAAGGCTACCATTTTACTTAATTATAAACAATCAGACCTCACATTCTTGCAAATCTTAACTGTAACTGGAAGTAGTATAATGACATCTGCTAACCATACTACTCAATAATTGTCAATAACATTCTTAATTCTTCTATTTTTCCTTATAATTCAATGCATTCAGCTCTTAGGAGACATGCGGACGAAGGTATAATTCCCCTTGTTTTCCTGTCATGTGTTCTTGAATGTAAACACTGTGCCTATTTAGCAAAACAGTTTCTGTCCTGCACAAATGTTTTAAGAAATTCTAAATGAAGCTTGGGTAGCTTGAAGCATTGTCGTCCTTTGTGCTACATTGCACTTCCAACATTTCCGGAAGCTTTCAAGTATTCATATGGTGCTGTTTTTCAAAACAGAACAGAACATAGCAGGACTTGTCATCAGTAGAAATGTTGCCATTAAGAACATAATGACATAGTGTCATTTCTGGAAAAGTTCCTTTTTTATATTCTAAGTATCAGTAGTTTTAAGATTCAGACATTCTACATGTGAGGGTACTCAAAGGAAGTGTTAGAATCCATGTAAGATGTGCCTGGAGATGGTGGTAGAATTGGAGAGATTGCAGGAAAGTGGGTTCATAACTATTCATCACTGTTCACAAAAAAGTACTGCACTTTATTATCAGTGCTCACATGTAGTTTTGTGTATGACAGAAAAAACCAGTGCGAAGGAGATATGAGTCGTATGGAATGTACTCTGATGATGATGCCAACAGCGATGCTTCCAGTGCCTGCTCAGAAAGATCATATAGCTCACGGAATGGCACTATACCTACCTATATGCGGCAGACAGAAGATGTGGCAGAGGTCCTTAATCGCTGTGCAAGCTCCAATTGGTCAGAAAGAAAAGAAGGCCTCCTGGGGCTACAGAATTTATTAAAAAATCAGAGGACTTTAAGGTAAGAGAATCTTTTTCAGATAAGAAATGTTCCATTTGAGAAAGACTTTTTTTCTGCAGCGATTTATTTTGCTGTATGTTAAGTTCTGTATGCAATGTATTGATTATGATATGATGAACATGAAACTGGAAACACTAACTGAAATTAAGCTTTCTTTATATTGCTTTCAATGGGAGTAATTATACATATGAGTCATGGAAGGCCTGGCTACAGAGCCAGGTGCAGGGAGTTTAAACCCTCTCTGTGCTTCATGAGAGAAAGGCTACTCAGCATTACCCAGAATATCTGAGGCTGATGTGATTATGTGCTCTGCTACATGTGCTGTCTTGGGCAAGCTGTATCTTCCCAAAGGACACCAGAGAGGCAAACTGGTAAAGCACTTCTGAGTACTTTACCATAAGAAAACCCTTGGAGAGATTCTGTATGTTGGAATTGACTTGATGGCACCTGATTGTTACAATTCCGTTATACAGTAACTATTCCCTGAAGCACTGTACAACAGAGAGAAAATGTCAACTAACTTAATATATAACATGCAATAGGCTACTTCTATGATTACTATACAAAATTAGAACTGAAGTAATGCTGCTTGTAATTATTGCAGGAATAGAAAATTGCAGTTCTTCATCGTGGCCTCTGTGAATGCACACAAAAGGGTTAAGTCAGGGCCTGCGCTGGACCTCTCAGAATATTCCAGAGCTTCAAGAGAAAAGTAACAAAGTTTAAGTTTCCCCAATAGCGCATGCTCCACCCGCCTCTGCCCCCAGTTCCATTTTACCGCCATCTGGCTAGGAACCTCTCGTTTGAGCTTCGCAATTTTCCTTAAAAATTTCTGTATTTTTTGACCACGGACTATTCTGACTTAGCTATATCTGTTGCCTCGACCTCAGACTGCTCTTTGACTCTTCTGTTGCCTACCACTTGGATTTGTTGCTTCCGGACAATTTCCCGCTAATTAACAGCCCATGCGACTTCAATTACCAATCCACAACAGTAACACTGATCTGTTTCCCTACCTGCTTATGTCCCGTTCCGGTCCTTTCAGCCGCTGTACCATCTGCTCCCACAAACTGCCCTTTCAGGACAGTCACGATCGCTGTGTTTTTTGCCTTGGGAAGTCCCACCAGCCAGGCAGTTGCAAGCACTGTAAAAAAATTACAAAAGCCGTGATTAAGACATGCCAACAAAGGTTGAAATATTACCTGTGGAATAAAACCCTTTCAGCATCTAAACCATCTGAAATGGAAATCTCTTCATCCTCTGCCACACCACAGTCAGAAGTTCATGCAACTTACCCTCAGTTGCCTTCAACCGCTACTAAAGATAAACCCGCCAAAAAAATCTGCAACTTTAAAGAAAACCTCCACCTCGATGTCGAAGGCATCTTCTACTGCCTCCATTAAGGTCACCAAACAAGCCAAATCAAAATCTTTGACTAAACCTAAAGAACTCCTCAAACAGTTGCCTCCAGTCTCAGCATCTGTACCATCCCCAATTTTAGAAGACGCTTCCTGGGATCAGGAATCAATATCTGAGGCAGCAACCTTGCTACCTCCTAGACAGATTGAGCCTGTTTTACCAGTGGGCGTAACATTCCCAACTCCGAGCCAACTTGTACAAGCCACCACAAATCTGGCTTCTGGCCCCAAATAGCCCTGTATCTACCGGGTGGGCATCTCCGGCTACCCTATTGTTGTTGGTCCCGTCAAGACCGACTTTGCCTCCACACAAAAGAGCGAATAACACCAAGCATTTGCTTTCTGATCAACACCGATCATCTCATCGCTCGTCTTGGCGTCGACATAGGAAACACTAAGACTCCGACAACACCGAGACTGAGAGAAAGAAACGCCACCACCAGCGTCAACGAGACTATTCCGAATCAGATTCCTCATCGACAGATCATCATAGACAAAGGAAGAGATCGAAACGTTCATATTCATCAACATCGTCATCTTGCCCTTCTACCTCTCCACATCGACGCCGACATCGGAAAACTTTTGATGTCGACAAGAATGAGAAAAGACCACATCTTTCTAAGACTGCAAACACCCAACAAGAACCTGAATCATGTCATCTTCTCAACACCCTAAGACTACTACTACTGATATAGAGAAACTCACCCTCCAAATCAGAAGAGGAAGCAGACTTCTCGGCAAATTTCTCACCTCCTGATGATGACACTCAACAGGGCACTTCAGCAGATGAACTACCTGAAGGAGAAAGAATGGAGTCAGATGCAGCTGACTCACACCCCTCATCTCCATCCGAGGACTTTTCTTCCTATGTGCAAATGGTGTCTAGAATGACCAAGACACTCAAGATGCACACAGAACAAACCAGCCCCCCCATCTGAGAACTTAATTTTCAGCGATATTAACCAAGAGCGTACTCCTCCACTCAGCTTAGCGTTTATTTCTGCCCTTATGGACTTAATAAAAGATGCTTGGAACCAACCTTCTACTTCTACACCCATTTCAAGATGTACAGAAAATCTATACCGTGTCAATGGAGAAATTTCTAGCGAAACATCCTGTTCCTAACTCTCTAATAGTGGAGACAAGCTCCTCTAGGCCAAATGCTAATGCTCACGTTACACCTACCAAGAGAGAAGGGAGAAAACTGGAAGTCCTGGGCAGAAAGATGTATTCCTTAATCTCGTTTCTTCTTAGGGTGACAAACTACCTAACGGCAATGGGAGCCTACCAGAAGCAATTATGGTTACGAGTTCTTCCAGCCCTCAAGTTGATTCCTGAGGACATACGCCAGGGGTTCCTCAATACTTATGAAGAGGCCCTGACAGTCTCAAAACATCAGAGACTAGCATCACGTCATGCAGCTGCTGCTGCTGCCAAGGTTCTGATGTCTGCAGTCACCTTAAGACGACACGCCTGGCTCAGAGCTGCTACAATCATGGATGATGTTAAGACAAGGATAGAAAACCTACCCTTTGATGCTAACGGCCTCTTTAATGAAAAAACAATCAGTAACCTGGATGAACTTCTCAAAATGAAGAAAACAGCCAAATCCTTTTCTGTACAACAGCAACCAAGATTTAACAAATACCAATGCCTTAAACCTTACTTCCAGTACTCCCATTCTTTACATTACTCACAATCTTCTCAATCCTTCCGTCCCTTCAAGGGCCAAGGTCAATCCAGATTATCTCAAGCAGCATATTCTTCATCCACATTTCGTTCCCAGTCTTAACAACGCCGACAATCTTACAAACCTCATGCAAAGAAATCAAAACCTTATCTTTGACTCCCCCCCTTACCTCTGACCAGACAGGATCATCCAACTCGACTTCATCCCTTCCTACAAAACTGGACAAAAATAACCACAGATTCCTGGGTTCTAACCATCATTCGCTGTAGATACCAACTAGAACTTGCAGAATATCCTCCTCTGGGACAGGTAAAAGTCACACTTCCCAACTCTGTCCTAGAAGAAGAAATTTGTACTCTATTGTAGAAGCACGCAATCCAAAGAGTGCCCAGAAGAGATGTAAAGAACGGATTCTACTCCTGTTACTTTGCCGTCCCAAAGACGGAGGAATCAGACCAATCATGGTCCGAAGAGATCTCAACACTTACCTCCACGCAAAACGATTCAGGATGGTCACCTGGACTCAATCATTCACCTGCTGAGAAAAAAGGACTGGTTTGTGGTAGTGGATCTCAAGGATGCCTACTTCCACATAACAATCCACCCAAATCACAGAAAATACCTCCGGTTTGTATTCCAAAACACCATTTATCAGTCCCTGGCTCTTCCATTCGGGTTGTCCACAGCACCAAGGACGTTCACAAAGGGCATGGCGCCAGTGGCAGCATTCCTACGTCTTCAGGGAATCCAAGTTTACCTGTACATAGACAACTGGTTGATAGTTTCTCCGTCCAGACGTCAAGCCATCAAAAACACCAAGTTCGTTCTACGCACTCTAAAGGAACTAGGTCTCACGATCAATACAAAGAAATCAATTCTCAATCCTTCCCAAGTGATAAACTACAAACTGGACTCCAATGCAGACAAGGTGTTCCCTCAGAATGCATCCAAAAAATAAGGACTGCTGTACACAAATTCAGGCTGCACAGGACAATCTCTGCTCAGCATGCACAACATCTTCTGGGACTCATGGCATCCACAACACCCACCTTGGCTCATACAAGGCTAAAGATGCGCTCCTTACAACTCTGGGTTCTATCTCTCTTCAACCCCATTCACAACAGCCAAAGAAAGCGACTTCGTGCCTCTCCAGAACTTGCACAACAAATACAGTGGTGGACTTTTCTTCCACATCTCATGATAGGCCATCCCTTCAGACTTCTCCGACTCACAGTCCAAGTCACAATGGACGCCAACCTCATCAGTTGGGGGGCACATTGTGGTCATCATCAAATTCACACTTTGTGGTCCTAACAGGACAAGAACCTGCACATCAATCATCTAGAACTTCTAGCAGTCACGAAGGCGTTCAGAGCCTTTCTACCTCTAATACATAGTCGTGGTGTGCAGCAGGTCACCGACAACACCATGACCATGTACTACATCAACAAACAAGGAGGAACACATTCCAAATCTCTTCTGTTTCTAACAATTCACCTATGGGAATGGTGCTATCAATACCACATCTTCCCAGTGGCAATTCACATCTCCACCACAGACAACGAAACAGCAGACAAACTAAGCAGGCTGACAGCTCAATCACACGAATGGGAGCTGAACAACAAGATTTATGCCTCTCTGTGTCACCGTTGGGGGAATCCCAAGATGGATCTGTTTGCGAGCCATCTCAACAAAAAATGCAAACTCTACACTTCCAGATGGGTCGAGGAATGGACTCTCTGGGGGACGCATTCATGATTCCTTGGGGCAAAGGCCTACTCTACCTTTTCCCTCCAATTCCTCTTGTACAAAGAACTTTGATCAGACTACGTCACACAAAATCAGAGGCAATACTAGTAGCGCCATATTGGCCTCAACAAGCCTGGTTCCCCACGCTTCAGGCAATGGCATCAGACATGGTCAAGCTGCCACCTCTACCACATCTTCTCACGCCGGATGCAGGCACTGTTCTCCACCCAAATGTAGAAACTCTACATCTGACAGCGTGGAGGATCTCCCCGCGATGAAGGAGGTCCTAGATAGTGCTAGGAAGCCCTCTACCACTCGTCTATATTCCTACAAGTGGAAGAGTTTTGTTAACTTTGCAGAAACTAGACACTATGAAACTTCCCCTGTTTCACTCTCCACCTTGCTCCAACACCTACGCTACCTATTTGATCTTGGCCTTGCCCTTTAAACTCTTAAAGTTTATACTGCTGCAATTCTGTCTTTTCAACCCAGAGACTCGAATTCAGCACACCTCTCACATCCTACACTCAAGGCATTTCTCACTAACCTCATTAAGTCACCAACATGTCAATGGTCTCTTCATGTGGTATTACATGCGTTGACCCGACCACCCTTTGAACCAATGGCGACATTTGATCTATGGTTACTCTCCTTTAAGACTTTATTCCTTGTGGCCATTACATCTGCAAGAAGAGCCAGCGAACTTGCAGCTCTCCGATCGGATCAACCATATTTACAAATTTTCAGAGACAAAGTGATATTACACCTAAATTTAACCTTTTTGCCTAAAGTGGTCACTGATTTTCATGTAAATCAACCACTAATATTGCCTACTCTTTTCTTGGATCCAAAAACTGACACTGAGCGCATGTTACACCCCCTTGATGTGAGGAGAGCATTAGCCTTTTATGTGTCTCATACCAGAGACTTCCGTACTTCTCCTAGACTGTTCTTGTGCTTTTATGGCCATAGGAAAGGATGTACAGCTTCTTCATCAACCCTCTCCAGATGGCTTGTCTCAACTATTTCTTTGGTATACGAGCTACAACACCGCACTCCACCTGAAGGACTTAGGGCTCATTCCACCAGAGCCATGGCTACTTCTATAGCCCTACCATGTGGCATTAACATTCCAGACATCTGTAGAACTGCCACTTGGTCCAACATCTCCACCTTTGTAACCCACTATAAACTGGACCTGAGGGCTAAAAGAGAGACAGGCTTCGGGAGAGCGTCCTTCAGTGACGACCCACCTTCTGGTAAGTGGGTGTGCTAGTCACGCTTTTGTGTGCATTCACAGAGGCCACGATGAAGAAAGACAGGTTACTTACCTGTAACCATGGCTCTTCAGGTGGACCTCTGTGAATTCACACATCCAGCCTCCCCACTATCTGTCAGTGAACATATTTAGCTTAAACTCAGGTTATTCTGGCGGATAAATGGAACTGGGGGCTGAGGCGGGTGGAGCATGCGCTATTGGGGCAACTTAAACTTTGTTATTTTTCTGGAATATTCTGAGAGGTCCAGTGCAGGCGCTGACTTAACCCTTTTGTGTGAATTTACAGAGGTCCACTTGAAGAACCATGGTTACAGGTAAGTAACCTGTCTGTTTAACACTTCAGCTTGTATCCATTGGAATCAATGTAGTAATACAAGATATATTCTACTAACAGTGGTGTATTTTTAGAATTCACACAAGAGAATAGCTAGTATTTTGCACAGGTATTTGTGCAAGTGAATACATAACCACATGTACAACTGATTATACACCCACTTATGTACTGTCATAAGCCAAAACAACTGTGCTAGCAGGGGTTATCAGTCTGCTGCTATTAAGTTCAATTTAGGCCATAATACTCAAAGGAGTCATATATCATCCAATGTAGTTTTTCTCCCCACAAAAGAGCATAACCACTACCCTAGCCAAATACTAGACTCATGATTTTAGAGGAAATGTCCTCTTTATTATTTGCTTTTAAAACTCAGGTTTTCATGATGTTCTTTGTTGGACTTTGCCCGTGCAGAACCATGATTTGGACCCTTTGAGCTAGAAAGTTTGGAGGGCAGCTCCACTCTCCTTCCCATATCACATGTGTGAAAGCACTGTCTTGAGTTCTGCTTTGTCCACCACAGTGGCAGCAGGTAGTAAAATATCTCAGATAGAAGTTGACTAATACAAGCTATTAGTCTGCAGTTTATCTATTTCTTTCATTCTTTTATTTTCATTTCCTTTTTATATTTCTAAAATTTATATGTAAAGATAAAGGTTCCCCTTGACATTTTCAGTCCAGTCGTGCCCGACTCTAGGGGGCGGTGCTCATCCCATTTTCAGGCCGTAGAACCAGTGCTTGTCCAAAGACAGTTTCTGTTGTCACGTGACTAGGGAATGCCGTTTTACCTTCCCACCGAGGTGGTACCTATTTATCTACTCGCATTTACATGCTTTCAAACTGCTAGGTTGGCGAGGGGCTAGGACAAAGCGACGGGAGCTCACTCCGTCACGTGGCTTCGATCTTACGACTGCTGGTCTTCTGACCCTGCAGCACAGGCTTCTGCAGTTTACCCCGCAGCGCCACCACGTCCCCCAAAATTTATATGTACCATCCTTTATTTTGATTGCTACTTGTTTTTCATTCCTCTCAGGGCCAATGACCCTATGGGCATTCTTTAAATGCTGTTGTATTGTTAGAGGGCAACAGCTCCCCCAGCAGATGTGTACAATAAGTATCTTTTCTGTCTCTTTCCTTGGAAGACATAATGTTTGCAAAGTCTTTCAATGGTGGTAAGAGAAAAGTTTCTTCAAACCTTTCATAAAGAAATAAAAGAAGATTAAAGCTCCTAAATCTACCACCATCAACAGTGCCAAAATGAAAGTCATATCTGATCACTCACCATCAAAGATTTTTCCATGATGTCCATGAGCAAAAACAAGAGAAGAATCCATTTTGGATGAACCCCTTGAGCCAGTCACGACAGCAAATTATGTCAGTTCCAGCAATTATGGCCCAGATTGGGCATGGCAGTTTATTGTGCCTCTTACTACACAGTGTTCTGTGTTGTTACATCATACTTGCGGAGTTTCAGAAATGAGGGATTTATCATGAGAGTTCCTAACATTCTACTCAACATCCTGGTTCTATCAGTATTCACCTCCTTATCAGCACCTCTGTTTGTTTTCAAACAGAGGTGCTAACAAGAAGGTGAATATTGATAGTACCAAGAGAATTGACAGTATTGATGCTTGGCTAGTTGATCCCTAGGACGGTAGTGCAATAGACATCATTCTTGTCTTTGATGCTGTTGTAGTTCTACCTGTTCTATAGTTATGCCTTCACCATGATCACACAAGAGTAACCAGATACTCCATATCAAAAACACCTCAATTGATCTGTTGCCTTATGCCATTTATTATTGAATGTAAATATTGAGTCCTAGTTCTGCTCAAGCTTCCTGTTCCTGCCCCAATGCTAAGTTGAAGCTTTCTTTCTGAACAGGAAGCTAGCTGGAGCTAAACCTCATTCCAATTGTGGCCTTTTCCCATAGTGAGCCACATTTAGGAGCCGTATGTTGTCTGTCAGGTGGAACTCCCAGAATGAAGAATTATGGGATCTGTAGTCCAAAAAATCAATACATCCCATTCCTACTTACAATCATCAGTATTTAGCACTGGTCTTGATACCAAGAGGATGTCATTCAATAGATCAGTTCTAACTGCTCTTCTTCAGTAACTGCAAGTGCCTTTCGTCCTTGTCATGTATTTTTTGCAGACCTTTTCCTTGGCCTTATCCATATGTGTTATGCACAGAAACCATGAAGAAAGAAAATAGGTTGTTTATCTGTTACAATTGTTCCTCAAAGGTCCTCTGCTTTTCCTGCTCTCTTTTAATGTTGCTGTCCTGCCTTGTCCTCTGAATGTTGAACTGAGAAATAATTTTCTCACACACACACTATAGGGAAGAAATGGGGCCACTGTCAAAACCCTATTCACAAGATTCCAAACCATGACTGTGCAGGTGCAGACCCATATATGTGAATGCACAAATGACCACTCAAAGAACAAACATTACAGATAAACAACCTCTTTTATTCTTTGGGAGCAAGAAGCCTCTGTGCCCTTCCCCCCTTTCAGTATTAGGCTATAGCAGAAGGATGCTTTGAATTTCCTGTCTTTGTTTAGCAGTGATGTCTTCAAAAGCACCAGATTGTGTGTTGTTCTATCCTCAGGCTGTTCACAGCTTCTTCTCTGTTACAGGATAGTTTAAACTTCTGTTTTGTTTCTCCAAAAAAAAAAAGCCTTGCAGGAAAGCCCTTATCTTGAGTAAATGTTGTCTGTTTGGCTCTTACCTCCTCATATTCTTGAAGGAGTGGTTTTCCAATCAAGTTTTCATCTTCCTTTTCTATGAAAATTGAGATTTCCAGTAATTAGTCCTCTGTGATCAGTTAACCGGTTTTCTGGATGTGTTCTACAGTTTTGGATGCAAATGCTAGTATAAATGTCAGCTTTTAATGGAGCCATTAAAATTCTGTTTACATTGTGAATTTTTATTATTGGAATGAAAGTGTTACATTGATTCTATTTTAAAGTTGTTAAGATGATTCTGCAGATTGCTAATAGTGTTACCTTTTCTCTTTTTGGCAGTCGAGTTGAATTAAAAAGATTGTGCGAAATCTTCACCAGGATGTTTGCTGATCCTCACAGCAAGGTATATATATCTATACATATTTGACTTTTTCTGACTTGTTATGAACATCTGCAAACATATATATGAGCATTGTAGTATGTACAAATCAGTTTGAAAGCAAATGCTAAATTTATTGATGACTTCTAAGTAACCATTCATTTTTAAGAGCAGCAATAGTTGGCAAAGCACATGGCTTTTTCTTTACATTTTCTGTATTAGAAATATAAGGCAACTAATAACTTTTCTACTTGTTATGATAAAATGATTATTTCATGATGGTCTAGGCCTCTAATGGTACAAAATGTGGTACAAGACAGAATCAGGTAGTATTTTGTATTCAACTAGTGTTTAGTGATACATGTGGTTGTATCTGTTCAGGGACTTCAGAGTTTCTGAATACAGAAGGAAGACCCCATTATCTTTACATTAAATCATCAGTGTAAGTTATATGTAAAAAAAATCACGTGAAAGAGAGGATGTGTTTGCTTTGAGCAGCATCAGAGAGGTGTTCCTAAAAGCCAGGGATGAGCAAACTGCCCCCCCCCCAGTAGTTGTTGATTTGCAGCTACCTGCAGTCTTCACTGCTGGCTGGGATGGATGGGAGGTGCAGTCTGACAACATCTGGAGAGTGTGTTTTGCCCTAAACCTTTAATTTTAGTATGATACTCATATGTCTTACATGTTGTGCAATCTGCTTATGGATATGTGAGAAGTTTTACTTATAGAAATACGTTTTTGAAAAGGTCTACTTAAAAACCAGAGGGAAAAGTCCCGTTACTGCAAGGAGCAGGTGGTTTCCAGAGATCTGGGAGCCACAGAAGTCCATCACTGGGGCTTGGAGGGTTGTTCTTATGACCACAACTCCCCAAAAATATTCTTTTAAAATGTATTCTTTACTCCTTATGCACTCAAACAATCTTCTCTGCAACATTTTATTTTTTTGTGGGGGGAGGAGAAAGTCCCCAGGGGGCTAAGGATCATTCAAAACATGGCAGAATTATCCAGCATGCCTGCTAGACAGTACAAAGGAACTTTTTCAGCCCTCCAAAATTTTGGGATGAGTGTATAGATTGGGGGGGGGCACATGTTGTTCATTCCTATTATCATTGTATGCTTTCCTTTCTCTCTGGAATCTTGTAACTGTCTTCTTTTAGCCTCATACGTTCTATACATAGATTGGAAGTCCAGAACATTTGAACTGATGCCAGTGTGCCGTTTGGAATGCTTATGTAGGGTTGATTTTAAAATTGTTGTGCCATTCCATGAGCAACTTGAAATTCTTTGTTGAGAAATGTTTGGTATGGTCATGAGGCTTTCCTGAGAGTGCATTATGCTGTTTGCCTGTTCTCTGTTTTGGTGTGGAAGATGGTGAAAAGTGGAAGCACATGACTTAAATTTCCACTCAGACCTTTTCTGTCAGTTCTTCTCTTTGCTCAGGAGCAGCTACGGAACCCTCTTTTCTTTGTTCCAGATTTTAAAGCCTATTTCTCCGTCATCTCCTTCCTTTTTCTTCTTCTTTTCTCGTTTTCTCCACTACCCAAACCCAAACATGCTCCTATTCTCCTTTTCTCTTGGTATTGCCTTTCTCCCATCCCCTTCTCTATATTACTGCTGGTGACTCCCATAGAGAAGTGTTCCTTTTCAAAGATCGCATTAATCCAAACGTGATATGTTAGATTTGTGAAGTGCCAACTTCATATTGCAACAGGCTCTGCTGCTTATAAGGACCACTGAGGTTGCCCAGTGACTCAGTAGAAGAGCATTCAGAGGCCTCATCTCAGCCATTGCAGTGATTAGTACAACATGAAGACATCTTTACTTCTGTCTTCCTAATGGTATCCTTCTAACAGCAGAGGAAACACCCTTTGCTGAGTCAGGTCCAATTCCTGACAAAATGCACCAGCTGGATCTTTGAAGTTGTAAAGAACAACTAGAAATTTAGCCCCAGGCCACCAGAAGGCAGCAAAGAACAATGAAGCTGGCTGCAGCCTCTTTCTGTCTGCCCCAGATGCTACCTTTACAACATGCTGTCCTGCAAGAGCTTTTCAAGCACTTACAGTCCGAGATAATTGTCCCCCTAAGATATTGTTTGTAATTATACATCTACTGCCCCAGTTTTCCCCTTGTTTTTCTTTGACAGGCAGTTTGTTCAGAAATCCAAGGTCAGCTATTCGTAAAATTTAGCAGAAATTGTTCCGTAAGAGAAGTTTCTGAATTCAGAGTTCCCCAGAGCATTAGCCTTTTCACAGTGCCTTTTAAGGGTATAGTGTAATCAGAATGAGATAAATCCTTGGGCAGTAAAAAGCCAAATAGTCATGCCTAGTGTCAGCATGGCTGTATATTGGTACTTGAGAAGGAAGTCTTAACAGGAATGAGTTTAATGCAAAGAACCCAGCTTGTCTGATAGGGGAAAAATCCACTTCTGAATACCTTCATGGTTAGGAGTCATCATTTAATTTCATCAAATTGTTTAGCTTCATACTGCTTAGGAGAAAGTCTTTTAAACCATGAGAACAAGAGCAACAGTAGACCAATCAGAGCATCTACATCCTGGTAGCTTATCGTCATCATCATGCCTATGTTCTCTGTTTTCATCATTGAGAAGCTACATGGCATTTAAGCTGAATTCCTTACACTTAATCACATAGTAGGAAGAGCAGAATCATTTTGGACCTATGATTGTAGTCATTGATACAGTACATGTCAATTTTACATTCACAACAGTCATTTGTAGTTGTAAGCGTAAATAACTCACTGTGTTAGAGTATTGCAATATATCGGTTTCAAACATTTCTTTAATATCATTTGCAAAATTTTAATACGGGGGTTATTTCTTGGAAGCGGCTCTCCCTGTGGAAAAGAAATAGTAAAATTGCTGTTGTATCTCTGTGTTGTATTGGAGATACAGTGAACGTTTAGTTATCTTGATGTTTCTTGCATGTACTCCTTCCTCTCTTCAAAAGTTCATAATTGCTGAAAAACAGCCCTGCCAATTGTTTTGTGTTTGAGTGAGAAGTGATTAACTGATGAAAAAAGGAGTCTGCTTCTGGGATTTTCCCTTGCTTGGTATCACTTTGTGAATGGTACTGAGCACAAAAGGGTATCCTGTAGACCAGTGGTTCCCAAACTGTTTTCACATATGGCTCCCTTGACCTGTCCCAGAGCCTCCCCAGCATAAAAAGGCGCCGTTGCCACTGCCTCTTCTTCTCCTGTGCAGGCAGGAATCCGGAGATTCCTGCTCAACCCAGGGTCTGCACCTGGGCATGGGCAAGGTGTTAGCATGATCCCAGCCAGCACGCAGGGAGACCCCTTGGCCAAGGAGAGGGAGATGGCAGCAGTGAAGGATGGGAGGATTCCACGGCACCTCTGGCTGGGTTTGGCGGTGCCCCAGCACTAAAGATGGTGTACAGCATCTTCACAGCTGACATTCGTATTGTCAACATTCAGGCTGCCCTTTGACATCCTTTTTCCTGCTGGCATTGCAGGCACAACATTATGCAGCAATACTGGGCCATTCCCTGACATTTTGAATTCTGAACCCACATTCATGAAAAAGCGGTTTTTCGAATTTTTCTGTAGGATGCCAAAGGCTACAAAATGGATATGCTTCTGAAATGTTATGGTTTACTTTCTGTGGAATATGCTACTATATATGTATCAAACCAGCATGACTGAATTGGCCCACATGGAGGCAGTGCTCACAAAAAGCAGTATTTGTTTTTGGACTATTTGGGTTGAAAAGGGAGAGGAAAGGAGAAAAAGAGCAAGGATAGATGTGTGTACTTCTGTTTTACTTGATTTGATACCAAAGGTGTTAACGTTTAACCATTTAAAAACCCAATTATCATATTTTCCTCATTCAGGAACTATGCAGATGGCAACTAATTTGTGTGTTTTATCTCCCCCTCCCTCCCCGCCCTTATTTTTTCTTTTTGCATGCTGTCCCCTGTGTTGGAACTCTCTATAGAGAGTAAGTTGGTTCAATATTTGTTGGAACCCTAACCTTGCTGCATGACTGAAATTAACCTTTTTTCCTCTACTTTACTCTTATAAAGAATGTGTGCAGAACCTCGCTTTTGCGCTTTACAAAATCCTTGCAGTTATGCAAATTATGCTGAAATGTTTCTGGATGTGCTTTTGTATACTAATTAACTCACCTTTTTGGATTTTATATTTCTGCTGCATAATGTGGTGACTGGCGCATCTTAACTTCACATTGCCTAAGGAATTACTTTTTTATAGCAGAGTATAAAACCATTTTGCTCTCCATACTCCAGTTTCAGCTTCATATGAGATTTCCAGGAATTTTTTCACAATGCAGTATTGCGTCAGAGCAGTAATAAATACAAGTGGAGTGTTCACAATTTCATGGTTATCTTCATTATTGGCTTTCCTTTTAGATGCCTATCTTTTTAAAGAAAAGTCATATTAAGTCTAGAACAAACATTGAGTATATTTCTTTTGAGCTTAGTGCAATTATAGTTAGTGTATAGGTTGAAGAAACAAAGAAAAATCTGTGGTCAAGATAATACCTAAGCCTTGCTATGTTTGTGCATCACACCCATAATTTAGTCATTCATGTGGCAGAAAATTACTGTTGAGAACCATTTAAACCACATTCATCATGCTTCTACCTTTTATTCAGAATTTAAAAAATGCAACAGAGCCTCTTTGGTGCTGGTGAATAAGCTGCATTAACTTTAAATGTGTGCTGTGGTATCACTTTCATCTGAAACAATGTGTTTGCTTTAGGCTACTGTGTTTCCCCGAAAATAAGACAGGATCTTATATTAATTTTTGCTCCAAAAATGCATTAGGGCTTATTTTGGGGGGATGTTTTATTGTTTTCATTTACAACCATCTATGTTTATTCAAATACAGTCATGTCATCTTCTGATTGCTGCACAATGGTGGAGGGTGGGGTTTCACTTAACTAGGGCTTATTTTTTAGGTAGGGCTTATATAACAAGCATCCTGAAAAAACATACTAGGGCTTATTTTCAGGTTAGGTCTTATTTTCAGGGAGACATGGTACATTATATAATCAACATACCTCAAAAATGATTACCATCTTGCATAAAATGGTGCAAGGTTTGTGGCACCTTTATTAGCCTTAATATGATGGAGAATTTGGATATGAACAAATACCAAAATCTCAGTTGCCAGTCCTTGGTGGAAAAGCTCACAGACCTGTTCTTATTGTAGCTGTAGTATATTAACATACAATCTGCAGATATAGTGTAGACTGTAAATCCTTCAGGAGGGTACCTGGGACTGCAACTACTAGACATTTGACAATATTTTACCAGGTTCAAATATGGCTGATTTCCAATATGAAAATAAAATTGTGTTGCTGCTGCTGCTATGTGCCATCTTGTAGCTTCCCACTTCTGATGACCCTATGGGTTAGTGACTTCAGCATGGAAAGGAATTTGGGGGGGGGGATTTTCCAGTAGGCACCTGAACTAAAGATACAAGAAGAGTACAACCAGGTGTAATTCTTATCAGAGCTAGAAGCAGAGGTCCCTACATAGCTATGGAGGTAGAAGAAGCTTGAAGGCTAGATCGAAAAGACTGGCAGATTAGAGGTTCTCTCTTCCTGCAGTAAAGAATTCAGATGTTTAACTGAACCTTGGAAGCAAAACAGTTGTGCCCAGTTTTTTTTAATTGCTTACTAGCAAAAGTATCGGGCTTTGCATGGATTGGAACAGCTGTCACTTTGATAGAGAAAAGCTTTCAGACAAAGCAGCTGCCAGAGTTGAATCCTTTGTGCCTTCCTTGTCTGAGGAAGCATGGCTTCTAGGATCTCTAGGTACTATTACTATGACCTAGAGATCCTAGAAATAATGCAGGTTTCAAAAACAGACAAATTCAGATTAATTAAAATTGAAATCATGAAAACTACAGTTGGACACCTTGGTTTCTGTATGGTGCATGACAAGTTTCATGTGTCTAGATTTGTGGTTTTGGAAATTTGATTTTGACAGTTGTGTGTAAGAAAGTAAATTTCCCATTTAGGTGATCCTTCTGTACCAATGGTTTAAGTAGCTTGTTTTTAAATCCAGAATTTTTTTGTTCGGTTTTCAGTTTTGTGTCGCTTATTATTCTGATGCTTCAGGAATGATCATTTAAAGTCTAATGATGATATAGTTTAATTTGAAGTATGGTGTCTTGCTTCCTGAGCTGTTTTAACAAATTACAACTTACGCTACTATAGTGAGCCATCTTTAACTAAGGATTTAGTAAGCAATTGTTTTTTAAAAATCTTTTTCTTAGCACCATACTTCCTTGTAAGAAAAGGAAAATGCATTCTTTTCTGCTTCATTACATATTATGCTTTACTGTATACAGAAAGTATACAGAAGTCTATGTTTCACTGAAGGCTTATCATGGTATCTTAGGCCTTTTTTAAATGTGTGTGTGTGTGTGTGTGTCTTTTTGAGTGATGTGCACATGTTGTGTTGCATGTACAGTAAGAGTGAGTGGATTAACTGTCTAAAACAGTGTTTCTCAAATGAGGAAGGGAGATCTGCTAGCATAAAGGTATACACTATACTAAGTGGCTCATTAGTCACTGAAGACACATTTGTATGTTGTGAGGAACAGAAATATGTACATACTATTTCCCCGAAAATAAGACCTAACCTGAAAATAAGCCCTAGTATGATTTTTCAGCATGCTCGTAATATAAGCCCTACCTCAAAAATAAGCCCCAGTTAAATGAAATCCCGCCCTCCACCATTGTAAAGCATTGTGCAGCAACCAGAAGATGACATTACTGTAAAATAAAACATCCCCTGAAAATAAGCCTTAATGTGTTTTTTGGAGCAAAAATTAATATAAGTCCCTGTCTTATTTTCAGGGAAACACGGTAGCATGAGGAGAGCTGGGTTAGGATGGTGATGGCTTAGTATAAGGAAATATAGGATTTATGTGTATAGGAATGAGGTAACATTACAAGCGAGCTGTGGTAACTTGTCCAAAGAAGCCCCAAAACACAGGCAAATGGCAAGCTCTACTGTCTTTAAGATGAGTCATAATTTTGTCAAATTTGAGACACACTGGCTTAAACTGCTTTCCTAAAACTTAGTTCAGTGACCAACACCAAAGCGTGTTTGTGTGTAAGAGAGTGTGAGAGAGAGAGGGAGAGGGAGAAGAAGTTGCGCCAGTCATCACAGCGTTTCTTTACCCAGTGATATTGCATGAAGTACTAATTTTCAGAATGGCATACATACTTCTGAATCACAGATTCTGATGAAAGACAGGGCAGAATGTTATCCTGCTTGGCTGTGAATCATTGCTTCTGTCTGCTTCTGCGTGTTACTTCATCATTCTATGAGTTCAACACAGGCAAACATCAACTCCTTCCCTACTCTTTCTTTTTCCTTCTGTCCTCCTTTTTTTATGCCTCCTCCAGGTGTTCAGCATGTTTTTGGAAACTTTAGTAGATTTCATCCAGGTCCATAAAGAAGATCTACAGGATTGGCTATTTGTGTTGCTGACACAACTCCTAAAAAAAATGGGTGCTGACTTGTTAGGATCTGTGCAAGCAAAAGTCCAAAAGGCACTTGATGTGACGAGGTAATAGATTCTTCACTGTGTGAAAACAAATGAATATTATTTTATTAACATTTTTATAAATACTTCTCTCTTGCTTTGTTTACAAATGATACCTTCTTGGGTATCAAGTAATGGTAGTTTTAATGCTGAGAGCCATTTCAATGTAACAAGATCAGTGTATTTCCATTGTTAGTAAAAGATACATGTTTAACGAAACAAGAGCATAAGTTGAAGATTGTATCTTATATATTGGACCAAATGCTTCATCCTGATTTTCAGCACTTCAAGATCACTCATTCTTACATGAACAGCCCACCACCAATATTGCTGTCTTCCTGTTCTCAACCAGAAAGTATTCAGGCCTCACTAGGCAAACAGTGGTGCCTCGCTTAACGGGCGCCCCGTTTAACACTGAAATTGCATAGCGATTAACTTTTTGCGATGGCTTTGCGATGTTTTAAATGGGGAAAATCGCTTTACGATGAGCGGTACCCTGTTTTGCTTACCGATCATCGCACAGTGATGATTTTTTAACAGCTGATCGGCGGTTCCAAAATGGCCACCGGGTAAAAAAATGGCCAGCCGCTGTGTTTAGGGACGGATTCCTCGCATAAGAGGCAGCGAAAATGGCCGCCGTATGGAGGATCTTCACTTTAAGGTGAGTTTTAAGCCCATAGGAATGCATTGAAGGGGTTTCAATGGATTCTTATGGGCTTTTTAATATCGCAAAGTGACGAAATCACTTTGCAGCGATTTTTGCTACACGGATTATCGTCACTATGCAAGGCACCACTGTATATTTCAATTTTAAAACCACTGAAATGTTTCCTGTTGTCTCCCTCCTTTCTCTAGTTTCCACGAGCTCCATAACAAGTTGTTAAAAGTCAACATTTACCTTTAATTTTAATTCATCTTTGCAGAGAATCTTTTCCAAATGATCTCCAGTTCAGTATTTTAATGCGGTTTACCGTTGATCAGACCCAGACACCCAGCTTGAAGGTATGATCCTTTCCCAGTTTTTGAAGAAAAATGGCACTTGTAAAAATTCTGCTCATTAATATTTTAGTCTCTGTTGCATTCTCTGTTGCTGGTTTTCAATTAGTGGGTTTTGTTTTTGTAAAATTTCAGACAGTCAAGCCAGCACTGCAGGACCAGCTTCGCTCTTTTTGGAGCTCCAAGGTTTTTGTCTGCATTATTGCCTTTTTAACCTACTATGTTTAAATTTTACATTTTTCAAGTTGTTATTTGTATGCATCCAATATGCAGCTACTAACCTTTGCAAGGAATTTTGAGCATGCTTTTGTCCAGTCAATGTCAAGCATTATGCTTCTGTTAAAACGTTTGACAGTAAACTGTAGAAGAAAACACGACAAGATCAACAAAATAGAAAACAAATGTATGGCTGCCTAACACCAAGCTGGTTATGCAAACTCACTCTATCGTTTCTCTCCTAATGTTATGCTTGTGATTTTCCACTCCTCATTTTATGGATTTACTGGAAGTAGAGCTGATTTTATTCCTGGGCTTCCCAAAGTCATATAGTCCTTTTTCATATTCAAAATTAGAGGCATCTCTATTTTCATAAGATTTTATTGTAAATATTGCACAATAATTATACAAATTCAGACATGGATGTGGAGTCTGAAATGGTAAAATGCAATGGAAAATATAAAATGCAGGCCTCTCCTGGAAGTGTGTAGTTGGAGAACCTGCAGTCTTGGGTATAAATGCAGCATATATTAAGAACTTAAACTGAGGCAGTTTGGGAAAACAACAAGCATATGTATACAACCAGCGTTTTTCCTCTATCCTGCACGCAGTAAATGTACACAGTCTGTTAAGAGCTTTTCACAGATGGCACTTCTTTATCCTTGAACACAGTGGCGCTGAAGTCGCACGCAGCTATCTCCTCATTTGTTTACCGTTCAACAGAATGTTATTATACATGTTAAACAGAGATTGTTTTAATGCAGTTGGTTAGTGAGAATGCTTTGAGCTTGGTTTTACAGTAGTTTTCTAGCTTTAAATGAAATAGATTCCATAACTCCTCAAAATGAAAAATCCTATAAAGAGGTTATGTAGATGACAGCTGGATTTTCCCTGATTGTGGAATTACGCCAGTGTATATCCCTTTATTCCTGCCAACCTAGCAGTTCGAAAACATGTAAACGCGAGTAGATAAATAGATACCACCACGGTGGGAAGGTAATGGTGTTCCGTGTCTAGTTGCACTGGCCACGTGACCACGGAAACTGTCTACAGACAGACGCAGGGTCTGTGGCTTGGAAACAGGGACAAGCACCACGCCCTAGAGTCAGACACGACTGGACAATTTATCAAGGGGAACCTTTACCCTTACCTTTTTATGTCCCTTTATAAGGGACATGGTGGAGCTGCGGGTTAAACTGCAAAACCTCTGGGCTGCAAAGTCGTAAGATCAGTAGTTTGAATCCATGCGACAGAGTGAGCTCCCACCACTTGTCCCAGCTCCTGCCAACCTAGCAGTTCGGAAGCATGTAAAAATGCGAGTAGATAAATAGGTACCACCACAATGGGAAGGTAACAGCGTTCCGTGTCTAGTCGCGCTGGCCATGTGACTGTGGAAAACTGTACAGACAAACGCTGGCTCTACAGCTTGGGAATGGGGATGAGCACCGCCCCCTAGAGTCGGACATGACTGGACAATTTGTCAAGGGGAACCTTTACCTTTACCTTTTTTATGTCCCTTTAGAACCAATTGTGTAATTATTTAATACTATATACCAGAGTAATACAAATATACGCATTTCTGAAAATCTGAAACAGAATTATAACTTCATGGTGAATGTGAAGAGTATGGCTTGATATCTACTGAAGTGTGTTCCAGAGGTCCTGTCTGTTTAGGAGAATATTGAATCTGTATGCTTCTGATACAGCATACAGCATACAACAACTTATTTCCTTCCCCAAATGAAGGAAACAGTAGTGAAAAGCTTCCTAGTCTTCCAGAGTATCTTTCTTAGAGTGGAGTTCCATGGACTGCTGAGTAGGAAACAATAAGAAGGAAGTAGCAAGCCCTCCCTCCCCATTCACCATATATGTAACTTGGCATAAGACCAAAGTTGTGGGTTCTTTCAGCACACTGAAAATTGGTGCTTGTTTTTATGTGTTATCAAATTGTGCTGATTCATTTGTCAGCAAGCACTTCTTGTTTTTATCACAAAAAAGGCAGTTTGGTGTTCTGTATTGAAGTACATATACCATCCATTGTCTGTCAGTTGTGCTGGCAGAATATATTTTTGAAGAAGTGGAGTGGTAAGATGAATAAAGAATTCTCATTAGTCCATATTCTTGAGGACAGTTAATAGCATTATCATACTTATCTAAATATTTTAAAGAAATGTATGTATTCCTAAGAGACATGACTATTCTACTGTCTTGGCCTTCAGTGGAGTAAGTGATTAGTAATCTGATGTCATTGTGCCTGTGATCCATACTTGTATATTATTCAAGCACCTTTTCAATTTTGATAATATAATTGCAGTTGGCCAGACTAATGATGCTCCAGTTTGATTCCCTCTCTCTTTGTCTCTCACACACACTCAACTAGCAAGCTGTCAATTTAGTATTTCAAACTGCTTTGGAACTCAGTTTCAAAAATTTCAAAAATGGATTGCCCATCTTGTCTCAAGGAGATGTTGCACAGTTATTGTTTGAAAGATCTTAGGGATGCCCTTTGCATAGTTCTTTGGTTCTTGTCCAGTACTGTATATGCTTCATATTGCTATTAGAAATCACTGGATTGGATTCAGAGCTGCTTTTCTTTATTTGTAATGTGTCTTCCATTCATGAAAGTTAGTGGGAAAAAAATGAAGGTAAATACAAAATCCCTGTTATGGTACTATCATTTTAGGCCACCTAAAAAGACCTCTTGATATAAAACAATATCTTCATTAGGCATGGTGTTTAAAAAGAGTGGGGGAGGGACTCTGTTAGAGCAGTGCGTGTGTTTTTCAGGTGAAAGGAGGAGAGTTTGCAGGTAATACAGCAGGTTCATCAGGTGATAAAATTCACCATGCCTGGCCTCTGTTTGTTGCTGGGCTTTTGGCTAGGAATAAGGCCATGAAAACTACGTCTGTTTATAAAACTGTATCTGTCCAAAATGTTCTGCTTACAATGTTACAAATTCTTATCCAGAAGTTTACAGAGCATCAATGCCAGCTGTTTTTTCTATGCTTACAATTCTTAGGATCTCCTTACCTTGATTCTTGAAGATAATTTCTTAGAAATAACATTATGAAATGGGAAGGAGTGTCATTTTTCCTGTTATGTAATGTTGCTGTGTTAATGTTCTCAAGTAGAAAAATAATCACCCCTTCTAATCCTATTTGCCATTGACTGCCACACTGTGTATTTCTGTGTATTTATTTGATTGTTGTTATTTTTATAGGTAAAAGTTGCCATTCTTAAATATATAGAGACTCTGGCACAACAGATGGATCCAGGAGATTTTGTAAATTCGAGTGAAACTCGTCTGGCAGTATCTCGCATTATCACTTGGACAACAGAACCTAAAAGTTCCGATGTTAGGAAGGTACAGTACTTCCCTTTGTATTAACATTTGTACTGTAAACTGATGGTTCTTGGGATTTTAATTCTTGTTATGTCTGCACAGAATTTTACTTAGATGCTTTAATATTACAGTGTCATGTGACATGACTGTTGCTGTTAGAAAGTTAATGTCTTCCATTTTTTCACAAGGATAAAGAAAAGCTGGTTTTAATGTCAAGTTAATGTGATATAATGGAAGAATTTGAAGCATTCACTTTGGTAAAATTTGTCATCTAATAAAAATTTGTCATGCTAGATCATACCAAAACACTAGCATTCTGTTCATACAGTGAACAATCTGAAGGGCATGAGTGCAGCTCTTGATGCTTATTCTGCAGCAACTGCTAGAAGGAGACATACTGTTTTTTATACTTTTTTATTTATTTTATTTTATTTCTATCAATCCATTCAAGATAGCATTGCAGAACAATACCTGTTGTACTACAATAATAGTAAATTTCTTATTCATAAACTCCTATACCTTCATATAAATTGCTATGTATAAACATTCCTACAGTAGAACAAAAGAAAATCAAGATAATGTCAAATTAGATTTGTGTTATTCTGATTTTAGATATTTGGGGAACTGGTTAACAAAAAGCATAAATTGGCTAGTGTACAGGAATTAAAAGGCTATATTTGCAACTGTAAGAGAAAAAAATGAAGAAATAGGAAAAACTAAATTTATCATTATTAGAGAGAATAGCAACAAGTGGGAGTATCTATTTTATCAAAAGTATTATTTTTGTTCCAAAATATACCCCTGCAACCAGAAATGAAAAAGATAAAACTATGACAAAAAGAAAAACCTGGAAAACATTATTACAGGAAAGGAAGAACAATAAGATTTATAAATTCTGTAAAAAATTAACCAAGTGTTAAAGGAGGATTAGCAGTACTGCAGTTATTAAAATATTATGAAGCCTTTTAAATAGCTCAAGTAGTTAACTATATCTGTGAAAGTTTTCCCTCCCAAACAAACATGCATCATTGCATGAAACTTTACTTAGCCTCTGGCAACATTTTGAAAGCAATAAAAATATTTATTATAACTACCACAATCTCTTTTAGTCTAAACATTCCAATACAATTAGTGTGGGCAGCATATAAGATAGATAAATAAATAAATAAACAAACAGTACAGTACAGTACAGTACAGTACTTTACCTTATCACTTATACTTACTACATTTAACATTTTCAAACTTACACAAATATACCACAATCAGGAAACTTTTACATAGATTATTAACCAATAAATCAGTAGTCCTTTCCACTTCGTTTTAGAAGTCCTTGAATCATTCTCCACGTTTCAGTTCATCAATATTCAGTTTTTCCACACTATACGCAAACACCATTTATTATAACATTATCAGCTTGGTTTAACCCCCCCCCCCATCAGTCATTTGGCTTTCGAGGCATGATCTGAGTCTCTTTTACTCCGTGGTTTGCAAGTCCCAGTTTTTCACCTTCCCATTGTAGTCAGTTGCGCTGTGGACTGGTCTGGTCGTTTTCACCTCCTTCAGCTGGTCACACGACTGCTGGCACTCAGGGTCCCTCTGATGATCTCTGACTCCTTCTTCCGTGTTCTCTTCTGTCAACTAGCGGTCATCAGCCACTCGGTTGTCGACCGGATGTTCTCTGCTTGTCGTTTGTTAGTGACATCTACTTTAAGTCTGGCTTGGGGCTTCACTTTCTCAGCTGGGGAAAGGGTAGAAAGTCCCTGTCCTCCTCCTGAACATCTCTGGATGCATCCCTCTTTAAGAAGTCAGGGCTTACGCCTTCATCCTCACTCACACATTCACTCACAGGTATTTTTATTGAAACGTTTTCACTCTGAGGGGGACCACTATCATGGGTCACTTTAATATTCTCATGCAAGTTTTTCTTAAGTGCAATCAACAATTGGTTTGTTTTAGATGCACTGAGTATGTTAGCTGATTCTATTTCTTTATTCAGTGATACGCTAGATAGGGGGTTGCCTTGCAAGGATTTAAGGACTACTTGTTCCGCCCCTGCCAAAAGCAAGTTTCTCCCCTCTATAGTTCTCAGTTCTGCTACTGGGTCCTCAGGACAGAATACTCTTTCCTGGGCCTCATACAATCCTTTCTCTTTTTCAGGAGTACTTCCCAAGCTTGGCTCTGCCACTTCTAAGGACTTTTTTCTATATAAAAGCTCCTTATCCGGGCAAGACCTTTCAGGGCATTCAGGAGATAATAAAGTGGCTGTACTGGTGGTACAAAGCAACCTACCAAACTGATTTCCTCCTCCCACCCCTGAGCCAAACTATTTTTATTTGGATTCTTTAGAAGCATAAGATCAGCTTCTGGATGATAATTAGGCTGACTTCCAAAGAGACTTTTTACCTCCAGGATTCCCTCTGCTACTGTATCCATTCCTGCTGCAGTGGGTGATTCCTGGCCCCCTTGTGAGCATGTAAGTACAAAAGCACTCTTAACATGCTCTATCAAATGTAAACCCTCTCTATACATCAGGTCTTTATCAGTCATAGACCTCTTTGGGTGTTCAAGGTTTAGTGGAATGGGATTCTCTCTAACTTTTGTAGTATCATCATTCAAAGTACTATCTTCCATCGGTTCCTCAATACAGGAAGGATCATTAGGGATTTTCAAAATAACCTCATCATTCATTTTGGTTACCTCATGATTCTTTTCTAACTTGGGGCATCCCTGGATAGATTCAGAGGTTAGGGAATCCATTTTTCCTTCAGAGATTGTTAACTGCTCCCTCAGGGAACCTGTTACTTCAAAAGCACTCTGCACATGCTTAGTGAGATCTAGCCCGGTTAAACAAGTGCAGGAATTTGATCAGAGATTGCCACATCCCAAATTCCAACGTAGTCTCTATAGTTTATCTTTACTTTAGCCATGGGTAAAATCACTGGAGCAGAACTTATTCCCTTGATGGTAACAGTCTGGTTTGAGAGAATTCTTTAGGAATCATATCAGGATGACACAGGGTTATGTTAGAACAAATGTCAACCACTCCAGCATAAGACTTTTCATTAATGAGAATCCTTTCACCAGGGTTATGAACTAAAATAACTTCTGCCTTTGCTAGAAAACAATGAACAACCTGGGCTAGTGGCAGATCTAAATTTTCTGTCGTGCCAGTTGCCATGGAGACAGAACTTGGTTACTGCTTTTCTCAGTGGCTTCAGCTGGTTTTAAACAGTAAACCTTCTTGGGCTGATTATCATCCTTCTCATTCCTAAGTTTATTTTTCATACAATTGAACTGTAAATGACCGAACACTCCACAGTTATAACATTTGTAAGACTGTCTCTCATTCTGAGGAGATCTGTTCAACTTTAACTTTTCCTCAGGGTTCATTTGGGTCTGAGAACTAGGCCGTGCTAACTTAGGTGAAGTACTACCCTGGCCTTCTTCCCCTGATGTTTTGCTGAGGTATTTTTATTAAAGGGTTTCTTAAAGAGTGGTCCGGTGGGCCAGATAGGCGGGGTATAAATTAAATAAATAAATAAATAAATGTTGTTGACCCAGTTCTGCTTGTTAAATTTTACCTCAGAAAACTTGTAGTCTCTAATTTCCCCAATGTAATCAGCTGTTTCACCTGCTTCTAATAGATTTTTAGGATTTTTATCCTTAACTAAATAACGCAATTCCCCAGGCAAGATAGAATAAAATTGTTCTAACCCAATCACATTTTTCATCTTCTCAAGAGAAGTTACATTTTCATGTTCCATCCATTTCTCCAAACATTGTAGCAGTTTAGCCCCTATCTGGGAATAAGATTCCTCAAGCTTTTTGGTCAGGGAATGAAATTTTCTCTGCAGGTGTTCTGCATTGATGACAAATCTAGAAAATACCATTTTTCTTTTTTTTAACATTTTTTTATTATATAAATCTATCCATACTGATTTAACATCGTGTCACCAGGGTACAGCTTATAATCATTTGTAAAACAACTACTACACACATTACACTCCTAATCTATACAACATCCTTCTAACCATTGATAGAATAAGTCCCATGTTTGATAATATTTTGTATCTTCTTTTCCTTTGATTTTCAGTATTATACCTAACAAAAAGAGCTCTGGCCTAAAATCTACATGTTTTTTGATTATTTTAACAATCCGTGTATGTATTTTGTTCAAAAATTTTTTTGCTTTATCACAAGTCCACCAGAGGTGATAATAGGTTCCAGTTTTTTTATGACATTTCCAACATTTACTTGGCCTGTTAGAGTACATCTTAGCCAATCTATCAGAAGGTAAATGCCATCTATAAAACATTTTATATAGATTCTCTTTATAAGATGTTGCCATTGTCATCTTATAGTTTCTAGACCACAGCCCTTGCCATTTTTCTAAGTCAATATTGTACCCAAAATTTTTTGCCCATTGAACCATCGTTTCTTTGACCTGTTCATCCTCCATTTTCCAATTTAAAAGGTATTTATATACTTTCCTAATTAGTTTATCATCTGATGTTAACATTATTTGGTCAAAAGTTGTTCTTTATAAAAATCATACATTTTTAGGTCCCGTTCATGATTGTATTTGCATTGTAGACCACCACGATGCATCTAACCCCTGGTCTATAAGATCTTGTTTTGGCTTTAATCTCCTATCTTTGTCTAAAATATCTGTATAAGTCAAAATTTTTCTAACATTCAAAAGGTTGGAATGAACAAATGCTTCTATGGGTGAAACCCGTCCTGGTGAAAATACAATTTTTCTATAGGCTTCAAAATCCAGAGGCATCTGAGAATACAGCTCAGCTAAATCTCCACTTATTTGGGATCTCAAAACCATCATCCTTTCATCATCCTTAATATTAAAGTTCCAGCATGCTCTTTCAAATGATATGAGGAAAGATTCAGGGCAATCTCCTTTTCTACATTGGGGAAATTTCTTTAAATCAATTTTTGAGAGATTTACCTCACTAGTGTAGTTCTTGTTATTACTATTATTGTTTTGAGCAGCCAATTCTAATCTTCTCATTTCCATTTGAAATTTCATTTGTCTTTTTTCTTGCTCCAGTGCGATTTCTCTCTCTCTTAATTCTATTTGTCTGGCCTCCTACTCAGCCTTGAGCTATAGTTTCCTGAGCTCTAGCTCTTTAGCTTTTTCATCAGCTCTGGCTTTTTCTCTGATTTCTAATTCCTTAGCTCTTAGTTTGAATTCCTGTTCCAATTTCCATTTTTCAGAACCTTTGGAGCTTAGATCCTTTTGTTCCTCTGACACACCCTCATGACTCTCCTCCTGTTCCGCTGGAGCTAGAGGGTCTCCATTTCCCTCCACCTCCTGAAGTAAACTTTGTGCCTCTTGAAGATCAATTACATCCATTTTTAACTTTCTAATTCTTTTGGTTGGCATAAGTATATATGTACTTACAGTGGTGCCCCGCATAGCGAGGTTAATCCATTCCGGATTAACCTTCGCTATGGGAAAACATCGTAAAACGGATCAAAAACCCCAAATGGGCCCAAAACTCACCGTTCTCCGATGTTTTCCCTTGTTCCGGCGGCCATCTTGGGTGTACCGGTGGCCATTTTGAGCGTCCCGGTAGCCATTTTGGGTGTACCGGTGCCCATTTTTTGTGTTCTGGCGGCCATCTTGGGTGTACCAGTGGCAATTTTTTTGTTCCAGCGGCCATCTTGGGTGTGCCAGCACCCATTTTTTGTGTTCCGACGGCCATTTTGGAGCCGCGGAACAGCTGTTCCCCCATCGTAATGCGAGCGTGCCCTCGCATTAGCAATGGGGAAATCCGCATCGCAATGCGGATTCATCGTTCAACGGTGCACTCGTTATACGAGGCACCACTGTATTTGATAAGAGCTGATTCCTATTGCAGAGTTAGTCAGGCCTCTTTAAAAACACACTTTTTACTGTTGTTTTCTTTTCCTGGTGTTTTTCTGGGGTACTATGTAGCTCTCATTTGGCAGCTAAAGATAGCTACACTTTTTCTGACACCACGCCAGCCATGACGTTTCTTGGTTGGAGACATCCTTCTTGCCTCCAGACACAAAACAAGTTCTGTTTTCAAGCCTTTGCTTTTTATGTTCCTTTTCACCTAAGACCTGTTCTGACCCTGGCTTCTGCTTCTTATCCACAAGCGCTCCCTTAACTCTCAGAGCCTTGGATTTTAATCTAGCCCACTGGATCTGTTCAAATCCTGAGGTAACCTCAAAAGGAATTTTCCCTTCAGAGTTTTTCCCTTTCTTTAGTCCCCCCCCCAGATCTAGGATCTGAAGCCCTGCTACTAAGCATTACCACTAAAGCTCTAGCAGGTAACCTACTTCTTTACCACAGACCTCTGACTAAAAGGTACCCTTGACTCAAAGAAAATTCACTTTTAACTCTTGATTGACTGGATTTTTTTTCCGTATCCCACCGCTGGACACCAATTGTGACGTTCACCTCTATGAATCACCTACTTTTTGTGCCCTCACAAAGGTTCCAGTCTTTGTTTCCCTTACTGCCACCAGTGGATTACCTCTGCCCACAATACAAAAGACATTTGTCCAAACACTTGTCTGGTGATTGCAAACAGAAATTATTTATTGAAGTGTAGCACAGTTAATAATAATCACAGATGTTCTTCAGATGTTCATTGTACACAAGCAAATCATTCACAGGTCTCTCTATACAGTGATGCCTCGCATAGCGAGGTTAATCCGTTCCGGATTAACCTTCGCTATAGCGAAACATCGCTGAACGGGACAAAAAAAGCCATTGGAACGCATTAAACATCGTTTAATGCGTTCCAAATCGGCCCAAAACTCACCTTTCAGCGATGCTTCCGGGGTCCGGCAGCCATTTTCGCGCCCTCGGTAAGCGAGGGGAGGGCGCAAAAACGCTG